GGGTGGTAGCTAGGGGGTTTCTCAGGACTGCCCTGCAGGTATGCAGTGGAGGCTTGCAGGTTAACAGAGCCATTCACAGTTCATTGAATCTGAAGCACCCTTAACGGCTTCCACTTAGAATGTTTACATCAGTGATACACGTTTGTATCTTCTTCTCCCAACTCCAGACATAGAAATAACACATGCAAACAAAGGGGATGATCACACTCAGTAGATCAGAAGCATTGTAATGATGCCTTACAAGAGACCTTTTGCACGAAGCATATTCCAGTGACATCATAGTCACACTTACAAACATATTTGTATAGAGCATATGGAGTGCTACATCACCCCCCTACATACACACCCCACCCCAGAGGGGTCGCGTCTCTGCAGGGCGAGGGGTCTCCGTACACCCGTCCCCCGCCCTGTGCGGCCGCGTCTGGGCGCTGGCGCTACCAGGCATGTCTCTCTCTCTTTCTCTCCACACCCAGGCCCAAGGATTCCGCTACCCCCGCCCGGCCTCCGTGCCCCCTTCGCCCTCCATCTCCCGCCACTCCAGCCCCCACCACAGCGAGACGGAGGAGGACGACGAGCGGTACGACGAGGAGGAGGAGGCGGAGAAGGATCGGCGCAACATCAAGCCCCCGGCCATGACGGGCCCTGTCCCCGAGTGGCGCAAGCCGCCCAAGAAGGGCTCCAGCGAGGCCAGCACCTCCTCCAATGCCTCCAACGCCTCCACCCCCACCATGCCCTCCAGCCCCAGCGACCCCAGCAGCCCCAACAACTCCATCATCGAGGAGAGGAACTAGGGGAGGGGGTTCTAGACTGGTCTAGAACTAGGGAGTGCCCCCACCCCAGGCACAACGGTTATAAGCAACCCCCTTGCCGTCCCCGTCCTCTGCTTCTGGCTCGCCCTCTCAAGAACCCACCCTTCCCTTTTTGCTGGGTTCTAGATTGCTCGTGCTAGGTTCTAGATCATTCAAAACCAGGTTCCCTCCCATGAGATGGGTATAAACATCCCCTTCTCACCGACTGTCCTCTAGAAACCCTCCTCCCCTTTGGTGGTGAGGGTTGCTGGGTTCTAGATCATTCAAAACCAGGGGTGATCCCTCCACGTGAGATAAACATCTTCCTCCTGTTCTTTGCTTCTGGCTCTCCCTCGGGACCCCCAAAGTGATGGGTTTGTTCAGTGTTCTAGATCAGTGGCATGGGTGTTCTAGAGTCCAGTCTCCAAGGTGCTCCAGGACCCTATGCACTATAGGCTCTGGCCTGCCCCTCCAAACTGTCTAGAACAACCTCCCTGTTGTCTGCAGCACTCTGGATTGTACTAGTGTTTGCAGCTGCCAACGTTCAGGAGAGATGGGGGGCTCTCAAATGGTTTGGGCTAGGAACAAGGTCAGGTGTGGTCTAGAGAAAGGCCTGGTCTGGAACAGGGCCTGGCTTCAAGGTGTGGGGTTGGTCTGGATCCTTCTATAAGACTTCTCACTCAAGAATGCAGGGCAGCTCTGGATTATCATGTTTGGGGATCTAGATTGTTCTAGAATTCTGTGTATTAAAATGGGGGTCGAGGATGTAGGGTACCTGTATTGGATTCTGGAATGCAGCATTGGGTGATATTGGGGGTTCTGGAGCAGTCTAGAATGGGACCTGCTGTAGCGTTTTGATTGGATTGTTCTGGAGTGATGTGACATAGCAGGGTGCTGGAGCTGTTTAGAAGGAGGGGCAGTCTAGAATGACCCTGCTACCGAGTCTGAAGCATTCTGGATCCCTCTAGAACTCAGTGCAATGAAGGGGTTGGGGCCATATGTAGAAGTCCACATTGTCATGGTCTAGACCAGTCCAGAACATTGCACGGTCAAGAGATGTTGAAGGGTGTTGGGTGTTCTGGAGGGGACATCTCAAATGGCATCTCTGGGAAGGGGGAAGCACTGGCGGGCGCTGTGAACAAAGGGAGATGGGTCGGTTCCTGACTTCTAGAATGATCTAGGTGGAGCTGCATTCCAGAACAGCGTGTGCTGGGAGTCCTGGCCTTCTCACAGCGTTCTGCAGCACTCCTGTGGTCGGGCGAGCATAGCCTCGGAAAGAGGTGGTCTAGATCACATTGTAGACCATTCTAGAGCACTGCGTGTAGGATGGAAAGATGCTGCCGGGGGCAGGGTTCTAGATCATTCTAGCAATGTCAGGGCAGATGCTAGAAACCCAAGCTGCCTGGCACATGTTCTAGGTTGTTTGAAGTCACTAGATACCACCGTGGCCGGGCTAGAACGACTTGCAGGGTTTCGATCATTCTCGGCTTGGGATTCGGTTGCTGGGTTCTAGATCACTCTGTGCTCAGGCTGAGCGGGCTGCTCTAGAACATGGCCGATGACGGGGCAGCTGGAAGGCTCCAGGATTCTGTATGCGGGTGCAGTCTGGTCACGTCCCCTCCCCCTCCCAGACTTCCAACAACAGACCAGTCGAGAACCCGGCTGCTTGATATCTAGAACCCTGCTCCCGGCTGGCGCCATCTGCTGGGGAGCGGGCGGGAGGGGTCACACAGCTGGACCTGCTGCTGAGAGGGGGGAGGGGGAGGTGTCTAGACAGGGCTCCCCTTGCCCACCAGTTTTCCGGCAACCCCAAGACAAGGAAAATCATGTTTCAAAAACGTTTGGGCTGCCATCCCCTGGGCCGTGTGCCTAGGTCCCCCCGCTCTGTGCCTGGGCTGGGTGCTGCACCCATGGGTGCCATGGGGCCTCTGTGGGGTAAGGGCCCCCCCCCGGCTCGTGTTTTTTATTTATGGCTGTTGCAAATGTCGTCGCTTGGTTTCATTTTTGTCTCTCCCGGGCCACAGGGAGCCGGGCCGGGCCTAAGAATAAACGTGAGTTGAACTCAGTGTCGGCAGCTGTGTGTCCCGTGGGGAGCGTCCCTCAGCCTGCTTGGGGCGCGGGGGCTGAGTATACGGGGACCCCTCGCCCAATGCTGGGATGCGGCTGGCTATGGAGTGGGGCGGGGGCTGAGTATACGGGGACCCCTCGCCCAATGCTGGGATGCGGCTGGCTATGGAGTGGGGCGGGGGCTGAGTATACGGGGACCCCTCGCCCAATGCTGGGATGCGGCTGGCTATGGAGTGGGGCGGGGCCTGAGTATACGTGGACCCTTTGCCCAATGGTGGGAGGCGGCTCGCTCTGGGGTGGGGTGCAGGGGCTGGGTATACAGGGACCCCTCGCCCAATGATGGGATGCGGCTGACTCGGGTGGGGCATGGGTCCATGTTTATATGGGGATTCCTCACCCAGTGCTGGGACGTGGCCCTGCTGGGGTGGGGTGTTGGGTGGGATTCCAGCCTTTTGCAACATCCCCCCCCACCTGGGGGATTCAGGCTGGGGGTCAGACCATGGGGGGCGCCCCTGGTGCAATGGGGTGTTTGGTCCCTCCCAGGCAAGCACCCCGGTGCCCCCCTTCCAGCGCTGAGTTTGGGGTGCTGCCGGGATGCTGCTCGTAGGGTGTGGGGAGCAGGGACAGGGACCGCCTGGTCTCCACCCCAGTACAAGGGGGCAGGGACAGCAGCTGCCCCCCCCCAGGGGTTAATGCCATCAGACACCCTATTAACCAGCTGGGGAGTGCCAAGCTGTGTGGGGGGGACTGGTGATGGGAGGGGATGTACCCCCCCTTGGCAGGGGTTAGAGTGATGGTGGTGGGGGGATGGGGAACCAGGACACCTGGGTTCTGTCATGGGCGTTGTGAGGGGAGGGGGTTGGAGCGGGGTCCCCGGAAGCCAGGACGCCTGGGTCCCCATCAGACACCTCACACAGCCGGAGTGCTAAGGCCAAGCCTTTATTCAATGCCAGTTACAGACTTTGGAGGGGGCAGGTCACCCCGTGATCGGGGGGCTCCGGCCCGGCAGGGCAGCAGGATTTAAAGGGCCGGCGCCGCGGGCAGCTCGGGGCTCAGCTGCTGTCGCCCA